CGTCATGAAATCCCCCCCTTCACTGCAACCCCCAAAAGAGTTCCAACACAAGTGGCTTTCACTCACCTTCCTTTAAACAAAACACAAAGCCGATGCCCCCCTCCCCCAGTGTTTACTTTGCTCTGCTCCTACCTGTCTTTCTCTGATGCTGCCTTTGGTTGTTCCTGTCCCGTGTGGTAGCAAGCTCTAGGTGCTAAGCTGAGTTTCAACTCTCCCACTCCACTACCTACTTTGTCTTCTCTCTCCCCTACAGATTTGTCTGTGTGTGAAATCTTCTCACTCTCGCCTGTTTCACACAAACTCCCACCATGTGTCTTCCTCCTTCTCTTCTAAGCCACCTCTCTCTCCTCTTGCTTCTGAGATGCTCATCCCCCAAATCCCACCCAGTCTCTTTTCCAAGATCCCCCTCACACTTGCCCACCACATCACTTCCCCAAACTCACCTCAATCTCTTTTACCCCATCACTCAGCCTCCTCTATATCCTGCCATCATCTTCTTCCTTTCCCAATTCCACTGAGAGCTGCCCTTTAGACCCTGTGTCCCCTAGTGCCTCTCACTTCACAGCTGTCTCCTGGTCAGGGTTCCCAACTTCCAAATTTCTTAAAACGGCTCCTCCCTCCTGGTCGCTCGTTCACTCCCCCTTCCCCAGGGCTCACCTGCCGCCTACAGAGCTGGGCTGGGAGCAGACACAGAGCCTGCCTGCCCACAAGATACAGGTAGGAGGCGGCCCCAGCTGAGAAGGGACTGGCGCAGGTTGATGACATGGTCCCGCCCCAGCCCCATGTCCAGGGCCAGGCTGGCAGGGACCGGGGGACACGCTGGCGGTGGCGTTTGCGGGCAGCAACTTCCACCTCATTCCAGCACCCTTGCAGGCGGTGACCGGATTTTTGGTGTCCGGTCAGTACTTCTGACTGGACATCCTACAAGTTCCCCTTCAACTGGACTTTCCGGTTGAAAACCAAGCCCCTAGCAACCCTACTTCTGGTGCCTGTCCCCCTATAACTGCCCCTTAGTGCCTATATTACCCATCTGCCTCCCCAGTGGTGTCCCCTAGCATCCATCTTCCCCCCCCTCATGCCCACCCCCAGAGGTGCCCATGTTACCCCCTAGTGTCCATGTCAACCCAGAGGTCCCCCCCAGTGACTACTACTCCTCCAAAGGTACCCCCAGTGTCTGCACCCCAGAGGTGCCCCCTAGTGCTCATGTCACCCCCTAATGCCCGCCCCTCCAGAGGTTCCCTCTAGTGCCCATGTCAGTCTGTAGTGCCTGCCCCCCTAGAGGTGTCCCCTAGTGACCATTCCAGCTGTCCTCCCCCGGTGCCTGCCTGCCCCTCACAGCTCCTCCCTGCCTGTCCCCTGAGGGAACAACAATTGCTGCACATCCAGGCCCCTCCGGCTCTACAGCGGTTGCGGCCACGGACGGACCCTAAGGAGCCCATTTCAGGCACCAAACCACAGCTGGTTCCTGTCTGTCCTGCAGGAGGAGATGGCAGCCCCATCCTGGCTGGAGGCTGCAATTGCAACAGCCTCCTGCTCCTAGAGCTTTTAACAGCTGATCAGCAACCTGCAAGAGGAAAAGGGGAGGGGGAAATAGGATGCCAAGCCCAGCTGCACTAAGCCACTTCAGAATCCCTTTCCCTCCCTCCCTTTCATAAGTCTGCCAAAAGTTGGAGGAAGGCATTGCTGTTCCTCCCCCCCCCCCCCATATGAAAGTTGGGGCGGGAGATGTCTTCCAAGCCTCCCTCATTACACCCATTATCTTCAATGGGGTTACAAAGGTATAAACTATGCTGTTTATAATGCACCACAGGGAATGTATTTTAATACAGCCAGATGTAAAGTTGTACATCTAGGAACAAGGAATGCAGGCCATAGCTACAGAATGGGGGACTCTAGCTGGGAAAGCAGTGACTCTGAAAAGGATTTAGCAGGTCATTGTGGATAAATAACTCAATATAATATCCCAGTGCTGCGATACAGTAAAAAGGGCTAATGCAGTCCTTGGGTGTATAAACAGGGAAGTAGTGAGTAGGAGCAGGGTGGTGATTTTACCTCGGTATATCGTATTGTGAATTTGATACTAGAATAGTGCATACAATTCTGGTGTCCACATTTTTAAAAGGATGTTGAAAAATTGGAGAGGGTGGAAGAGCCACACAAATGAGTCCAGGATTGGAGAAAATGCCATATAATGAGAGATTTAAAGAGCTTATTGTGTTTAGTTTATCAAAGAAAAGATTGAGAGGTGACTTGATTACAGTATGTAAGTACCATCATGGGTGAAAATCCTGGGTACTAAAGGGCTCTTTAACATAGAGGGGAAAGGCATAACAAGAACCAATGGCTAGGCATGAAGCTGCTCAAATTCAAATTAGAAATAAGGCACAAATTTTTAACACTGAGATGATTAACCACTGGAACAATCTACCATCTCTTGATGTTTTAAAATCAACACTGGATACCTTTCTGGAAGATAGTCTTTACCCAAACACAAGTTATGGGGGGTGAAATGTAATGACTTGTGATGTACAGGAGATCATAATAGAGGATATAATTGTACCTTCTGGTCTTAAACTCTATGAATCTATGAGGGAACAGAATCTCTCTCTCTCTCTCTCTCAACTTTGTTGATTCTGCAAGGCTAATAGGAGAAAAAGAAATAAAATCTTTACTCAAGCAACTATTTTCAGGACTCCTCTCCCCCTCCAAAGGAGCTGGGGAAAAACACATTAATGCTGAGAGTGGTAGTAAAGGGTATGTTTTAATAGGATTTTAATATACAGCTTACATGTATATTTATTATTATTCTAGTCAGTGCATTACAGTAATAAATATGAGAGATATCATTTACGAATCGACAGAATTAAATATTAATTACACGAGGTGATAAATTCTGGTCTTTTTAGGAATTCACCAAAAGCCACTGAAGACAATGAAAGTCTTTCCATTCACTTAAATAGGCTTTGGATCAGTCCTTTAATGCTGTTAAAATTAATTTGTTATTAAACAAACTTTCTATGCAATATTATGCAATAGCTATAATTTGTTATCATCATAATGCAAAAGTTCAGGACCAAACCTGCTCCTACTGAACTCTATGGTAAAACTTCCCTAAACATGAAAAAGAGCAGAATTGAGCTGTACATTTTTAATTGCACTGTATACAAATATTCACAAAAGACTAAAATACAGTATTCACAAAACTAAAGAGGTTTCCATGAAGCTTACAGGAAAGTACAGCACAAAATCAATGAAGTGAAAAGTAACTTTTTCAAAAAATAATAAACCATACTTGATAGGTGTGGTAAACATTAAACAAAAAGACAAACTGGCACAGTTTAACAACCTCATTTCTAAGCGTGCTTTGTAATAATGCTCCTCCCAAGCTGCTGTTTTTCCAGAACACAATGACAAAAAGCCTCATTGTAAAATCACTGTTTTACAGTGACAAATTTTATTGCATTGCCAATTGAGTTTAAAGAAAAAGCTGTAGAAAGGATCCCGAAGCACCACCACTACCACTACCACTACCACCCCACCCTTTTTTTTTTGGTTATCATCCAAAATAGCAACATAGCACTTTCACGCGTTGATGAATACGCACTAGTCTAGTTTAAAAAAAATGAAATTATTTTTGTTTTTGTTTCAAAAATAATATAAAAAACCATTTCAGAATCAAATATTTCAATGATTAGAGATATGTTTAGCATGAAAGATAGAGCCCAACCCTGCAAACATTCTTGAGAGCAATCTCAATGACTTCACTGGGCCTGCTCGTATGAGCAATAATTTGTATGTGTGATTACAGACTGGCAGGATCAGGCTCTTAGCTTTGCCCTGCGCAAGCTTTTGCACAATTGTCCTAGGCTAAAAAGCATAGATAAAGTACTAATATATACAAAAATGGGCTTTTATCTTATAGCTTTAACCCTTTTATTGCTAGTCCAAAAGTGAGGATTTGGAACAATTTACATAATTCATAGAGGATAAAACTGAGATGCAGCTTCAGATGACTGAATTTCCACTTGAGCCATTTTAAACTGGGTACACTGGAGCCATTTGCGGAGTGCAGATGAGTTATTGTTCATTTGTCCTGACCCCTGTAACATCCTCAGGCTGTGGTGGTTCACGTTATTCTGAATGGCTTGAAGGCGCAGTTGGAGTCCAGCAGATAAATGCTATTAAAACCAGCAGAAGATTGAGTTTCTCTCTTTTATTCAATACATACACTAAATCAGGATTATTTAAGATTTTTTGCCAGGAACAGATTTTGGGAGAGGAGGAATTCCCCTGCATGCGCCACCCCCCTCTATCCCAGGTCTCATTCTACCTCGTCTCCAACCACTGACAAAGATGTTGTCACAAGGGGCATTGATTTCAGGCCACCATCCCCCAAATCACTATGTTCTCAACAGCAACTTTATAGTGGAGCTTTCTGCACAGCCTTTCTTCCCATCCACTCTTGACTGACAGGACCCATTGGTACACCTCATCCTCGTTTCTGTCACAAACAAGGCCACTTAGTACTATTATCGTCCAACCAGCAGACCACAGCAGGTCAACATCAGGTGCTGCAGAACTGAAAGCCACCCCGAATCAGGGGTTCTCAACCTGTGGATCATTGTCAGGGGATCTTGGACCACCCTGCTTTGCTTAGCTAGTTAGATGGGAGTGGGGAGGGCTTCCCATCTAGATCCTAGTTAGTCAGATGTAAGTTTTGGGTGGTGCAGTGTCTCAGTACGGAAAAGGTTGAGAACTACTGTCCAAAATGATGCCTCTACCCATTCAAATTTGGCATATTTAATGCCGAGCCACTGATTATCCCCATATACCAAGCAGTTTGCATATTATAAAAAGATGTATGTTGAAAAAATAATATGGAGTTTTTATGATGCATTGTCAGAGAGTTGGGAGTGAGAGTCTTATTTCTAGAGTACATTCAGACAAAACACAGAACAGAAATACCAACAAGCCTGAAAGAACAAGAGAAAATAACTTACCTTTAGATTTGACTGAATCATTGGCAACCACATAGGTATTAGCTGTACGAAGAGACAACAAATATTTTGATAGTATACTATATGGGCCCATGAATCTGTTCTGGTTACAGCGAGTCAGAGCAGGGTATGTCTAACTCATTTAGCCCTTTGAATGGATGGTGACATGCTGAAAGGACTCATCCATAAATATGGAAATGTCTTTGTAAAAGAGGGCATGCTGGACATGTGGCATTCAGAGGTTAAGAAGCCAGCTTTGATCATTTGTATCCTATTTTACAATAAGGAGCAATTACTGGTACTATTTTAAGGCAATGTCGATAGTTTAAAATAAAAATCCATTAAAAGGAATATTTCCCTGGAGGTGTTTTCTTAATACCCAGGTGAGCAGGTATTGGAATGAATGCGGTCCAAGCATTGCACAAAAAGGTGCACACTGTCGCAGATGTTGAAGAGTGAAAAGGACTGAGGAAGAAGTTCATGATGATGCAGAATATTTTATATTCTGATCACTGACCATTGTTTTATAGGTCAACAATCACAGGCATCCATGCTATACTCACACATCTAATTGAAGCCCAAGACCTCCTTTCACCATATACAACGTCTAGCGGACAGTGAGCTGGGTATCTTAGTGCTGGGGCAGTGGAAAAGGAATTTTCCCTTCAGTATGCCAAACAGCTGTGGAGTTGCTGTGCAGCTCTTACTGCAGCCCTTCATGGGAAGGATGGGTGAACCCACGTAGCAGTGGATCTTCCAGCCTCACCCTTGCCTTGCCATGTCTTAATCCCTCATCTCCAATGATCTCTCTGCATTGTCCTAAAAGGAGCCCTCCGTGCACCCTACTCCCAAGAGATAGAAGACTCACTCATCAGGATGAAAAAGTAACTCTTAGGCTCTGACCTATGCCTGGATTTATTTTCTCCAGGATAGAGCATCATCAATCTGCACTCAAAACTCCCACTGACTTCCCTGGGCACTCTATTTGCAGAGGAACTGCAGGATCAGGGCTTCATGTGGTCATACTCCAGACACCAACAGAGTAGGAGAGGCAAGGAGGGATCTGGGAATCCATAATCCAAGAGCTGATATTTGTTTCTGGCTATATCTCTTAACAAAACTTTTATTTGAGAGTAACTTTACATGACAAGCCTACGGAAACCATTTCTATCCATGCTCTCCAATATTAATTTAACCACTGGGCATATTGTTCTGAAATGCTTCTCCAAATGGCATCAGAATTTGCAATTTACCAATTATGCTCCTGAGAGTTGTAGGTTAAACCTAATCAGTATTGACAGCATTAGATAAAGCACCATTCCCCCCATTTAAAGAATGCTAATTGTTTGTCTGGCTGCATAACATAAATTTCAGTGCTGTTTTGCTAGTGGATCATATGCAGCTCTGTCAGTACTGATTACTTGGTCCACCAAATAAAGAACCAGATTCAATCCTCTGCTTCTGCAGGCAGATGGATGCCAAAACAGATGGAATCCAGCCAGAGAACAGGGGAGCATTAGCTCTGTAATCTCCTTCCCTGGGACCTTGCAGAAGCTCCTCCACTGGAGCTCTGATGACTCAGGTCTATGTGGGGTTTTTGAGAGGCAGAAATAGGACAGCTAAAAGAGCACCCACATTCCATGGCATGCTCCCCCTGCTAACCTCACAGACTTACCACTGGAAATCTGAGCAGGGGTTCATGCTGCTCCTATGGAGCTAGCCAGTGGCAGCATGTTTCCTGCCAAAGGGGAAGGGAAGCTGGTCGGAAAGCTGTGCAGAAACACGGGGTCTCTTATGTACCCCAAGATCCACACAAGGTTTAGGAGGACTGAACTCTCTGCCTTGAGGGGGTGGGGTGTTAGAGGAGAGCAAATCCTCCCACTCCCCGCACTGTCACCTAGCTGGATGGAGGAGGAAGAAATTGAGTTGGAACTCTTGGATTTTTTTTCTTTCCATCTTCCGGTCAGGCTTTTCTCCAAAGGGGGGAATATGGCTTAAAATTCCGGCCAAAAAGTGCTATCTGCCAATAAAAGGGAGCAGCTCTATCCCAGGGGGAAGCATACACCGCGCAAGTGGGTGGGGAACGTAACACCAATGGCTAAAAGTAGATGAACTCAGGAGGTGGAACTCTCACCGTACCAGTCAAAGAGGAAGGGGAGTTGTGAGAAAGTGCTGCTCCCTGCCAGTGAGATGGAAGAAAGCTCCTCCTCTGCTTGTAGTTTAGGAGGATCTGCAGTCCCCTATCTTGCTCTACTTTCCCTGGCTTTACCCTCCCCCCATCCCGTTCCTAATAAGGTTCCCCACCATGTCAGCATCCAAGTAAACACACTTCCCATAATCCACCTGGCAACATATGACCCTCTGACTCCCCGTTGTGGTGATCACTACAATTACACATTTTTCCTGTGTCTGCTGTGATGAACTTGTACAGTGGCCTTCTTGAACATTTTAATCACATCTGATTCCCTATCTAGAATAAGAAATACAGCAATAAACTTAATTAATGAAGATGGCAAGTGTGCAGGGTTTAGTGGCAACCACTGTGCTGAAAAGAGGTGGGGTTGGTGGTGGTGATCTGATTTGCACAATGCAGAAAGCTCAGGAAAAGGATATTAAGAATGTGCTGAAACTGAGTAAAAAAATAAGATTATTTTTCACCCACTCTCTCCTCCTCACCATTCTTTAGTGATAATTTATTTTTGTTTGAAAGGCTTACATCTAGGAAGGAAGCTTTGAAACATAAAATATACTCTGTCCCCTACACTTAATTACCAACAAGGTCGAGGCAATACAGGATTTTCTAAATTGTCTGAAACATAATAAAAAACAACCATCAGCCAACAATCAGAGAGCTATTATCTTTGCAGCTTCTTCATGTAGGTTAGGGCCGTGAACATTCAAGTCTTCTCTGCAACCCTTGAAAATAAGACAGTTTCAAAGCTGATTTGGGGTAAATTTCTTGTTTGTAACTCAATGGTTTTCAACCATTTTTCATTTGTGGACCCCTAAAAAATTTCAAATGGAGGTGTGGCCTCCTTTGTAAATCTTAGACATAGTCTGCAGACTCTTACCACAACTTGAAAACCACTGCTATAAATTATGTAGGTGCCAGTCATGGCTCCATAGTTAAAGTTGAGCTCTGCACTTAAAGCAGGGATTCAAGCTCTTTGGAATGTTTTTAAAATACAGCATATCCTCCCCACAATTACAGAACTTACTTTTAAAGTAGAGATTGAATACTAACACAATGCAAAATACTGTGTTTCTAAAAATTGATTTAAACTAATCTGGGACTATAAACACGAAAAAGCCTTAATTATAAACATATGGTTAATGCATGGTGTCACTGCAGGGGAGAGTTAAGGTTGTCTGGTTGCCCTATGTATTCCCAAACCTTAACATACTTGGATTTCTTTTAAGCTTATCTCGAATTTCCTAGATTTATCATGCTTGTTTTTGCAATAATTACAACATCCCTTAATGAATTTTACTGTAAATTACTGACACATACTCTCACTCTTACCTCCATTGTACATACTTTTTGCTTGGGGATTTACTGCAGAATTTGTGCCAGGTTTGCCTTTTCTTTGGGTGGGAAGGCAGCTTTAAAATCCACCCTGGACTTCATAAGATCCTAATTCATAGGTGCTGAATCAGTGCACCTCCTGGGAACCCTGTTCATGTCCCATCCTGGGACAGCCTTGCCCACTTTTAGGGCCCCGCCCTGCACAGCTGAGGTACTGAACTGAGCTCTTTACCTTATTATAAATCTGAATTTTAACATTTGCTAATAGAACCTGAATCTTTTCAATCCAATCTGCCTCATGCTCCGTCATCCACTACGAAGTGAAATGCTATCTCATTCAAATGTCACCTCCCTCCTAGAGAGGGTCAAAACACATTTACTGAAGGGAAATACATGAAGTGAGGCAGTGAGCGAGTATGTCTGAAATCTTTTCAGAAATTTCATTCTTTGACTGAGATATTGTCATGTAGGGAATGTTTAAGTAGCTCTCCACAATGCTACAACAGTATAACTCTATCAGCCACTAATTTTAAAGAAGGCATGGTAACAGGGGGATTGCCTTTCAATTTTAGCTTTGTGTTACTGCTGGACACTAATGGTATGTCTACACTGCAACGTAAGCCTGTGCTTGAACCCGGGCTCAAGCCTAACCCCCTCTTGCGTCTATACTGCAATTATGCTAACCCAGCTTTTGGACCCAGGGTCCCAGGACCCTGGAGGGTTCAAGCTCAAGTTAAGCCAGGACCCAAGGTCTGAGCCCTGTTGCTTTGCAGTATAGATTCAGCCACGCTTGACTCAGGACCTGGGAGTCAGCCAGACGTATCCCACAATTCCATGGGACAATGTCCGTAGTACTCTCTATCCCAACAATCCGAAATCTGCTGTACTGAAAATGGAAACCATGCGCTCTTTGTAAATGGCAGCAGCTCAGCGTTAACCCAGTCTCTCATGATCACCAATCTGCAAGCACACATTCAGAGAGCCTCCTGGGTTTGCAATGGAGAGCGAACAGATCAAGTCTTTGGCAAAGTGAGCTGCTTTCTGGTAACTTGCAGGGAGGGCAGTAAAGTTTTCCCACAGTCCATCATGGTCCTAGTGCTAGAGCAGCCACATTTTGGGGGGTTGGGAGGGTATGCTAGGGAGTCTGGGATATGGTTACTTTCACTTGGGTCTGTGCACTGCAATATGGACACCAGAGCTCTAGGTTTCAACACAGGTTAGAAAAGTCTTAACATAAGGTCAAGCCCAGGGCTCCCCAACACAGGTCAGATGACTGGAGTCCCATTAACCCTGCACTTACGTTGCAGTGTAGACATATCCTAAGAGGCTAGAAAATAATAACACACAGTTGCTTGCTCGAATGCAATGCAACAGCTCAATGTACAAAGGAACACAATTCATCTAGACTCATAGGATTAAGGACTGCTTTGCTTGCTGTTATTTCATCTGAAAAACAGCTATCCAGAGGACTAAGTGGGAAAGCATCTGTAATGCTAAAAGACTTGATTTATCCTGTGTGACCACCCCAATTCTTTTCATTTCTTCTTTGGTTTGGCTTGTTTTACTCAGCTCAACGCAGGGAACACTGTGGTCATCCACAAGGGGAAAAATACTACTTTGTTTAAACTTTGGACCAAATGCTGCAGATTTCCAAAGGACTTTTGCACAAGCAAGGCAAGCAGGACTTGGCGCTGGACTGGTGAATAGCCTATTGTGCTTTCCTAAAAGAATAGGATTCACCACCTAATTATATTCAGTTAAGTAAGAAACACACACAGAGGCATTTAATAAAACCAGACATTATTCAGGCACAAGTCTTGTGTTATCACCCTGAAAGAATTTGAGTGCCAGGACATAACCATGATCTGCAAAGGAAGCTGAGTGACACCAACATTGTTAGGAATTAGAGATTGGTCCAAAACGGAAACTTAAAATCCAGATTTTGAATCCTGCTCCTTGCAAAGTTCAGGGGTATTTGAATGCAGACTTTGCGTTCATTCTGTTATAGAAACTAGGAGTAAATAAGATACAAAGTCAAAATTCAAGGGCAGTTTGGGCTCAGGGTTTTGGTCTGTGCCTCTATGTTAGGAATTTTACTCTTTTAATGTTGTAAAGAGCTATAGTCCCGCACTGACCTTTAACCTCAGCCCCTTCTAGTTTCCCCTTCTAGGAAGTCTGTCGGGAAAAAGGTCCCTACGAATCCTTAAAGAAGTATTCACAACATGTGATTCACATACCTTGACAAAGATAGTGGAATTGCATTCTTGTAAAGCCTCCATTAAACTAATCACATGTAGACACACCATTTCCACCATCTGAAAGAAAATATATTAAATAAATATCCAGTGTAATAATATTGTGAACACAGCCAATAGTCCCTAGGGATAGTCTCACTCCATTTTCTTGGCAGCTACATTGGGGCATAAGCTGTATGTTTTTAAACCACTGACATTTCAGGTTAAATATCACATGATGACATGGGGGACATTTCTATTTACTAAGTCTTTCTCTGATGCAGCAGCATCTATCTGTTAGAGTGCTCTACATATTTGGTTTACCTCCTATTGCACACCAAGACAAACTGTCTTCGGTTTTCTTCCTCTCAGTCATTGTTCCTTCTACTTGTCCCTGTTGGGTAGTTCTCATCAATCACTGAGTCAGAAATTGGTATTTTTATTTACTGAATTCCCTTTAAAATTAACTTAGTCACAAAGATCAGATTTTATTTTTTCCATCTGAAGGTGATTTATTGTTCTGGATTGGCAGGGGGCCATGAATATATAATTCTTGGATTTTATAGCATGAAATACGGCATATGCAAATATTAGCTTTTTGGTAGTAAACAGCATTTTATGTTTTATGTTCTGGAAATGCACAGGAACAACAAGACAAATATCTTGAGATGGCAGTAAGTATTTGCAGTGCCTGTCTGAACTATGCATGGATTCCCCTATATAACAATAAATTTAGCTTTTCAGTATTACTTGTCTTCTTCGAAGAGCTTTATAAACACTAACTAATTTAACTTCAAAATACCCCTGTGAGAATAAGTATAATCCACATTTTACAGAGCAGGTAGCCAAGGCAGAGAGTTTAATAACTTGTGCCAAGGGCCACATAATAAGTCATTGTTAGAACTGAGATTAAAACTCAGGGGTTCCCGGTCCCACACCTTTCCCCTTAGATTTGAGGCTAGTCAGAGATCAAGGTCACGCAGAATTCCAGTTGACTTCACTAGGAGTTCCAGGCTTACAGCAGCAGTTCCCAAACTGTGTTCAGTGGACTACAAGTGGGCCACAGAGCACTTAACTAGTAGTCCATTGACTCGAGCTGGTTACCCAGGCTTCTCCACATTTCCAGAGGTTAAAATCACATTAAAGGACAGCTATACATATATTAAGTACTTGCCTAATGTGTCTTTAATGTAAACAATTGCTGTAGTTGGCACAAAAATATTCCAACTGCAGTCCATGTGACTGCAAATGAAATGGAAAATGCCCAAGCATAGAGGGGATGGGAGGTGGTCTACATGATCATACATGAGCAGGGAGATGCTCCACAAAGCAGTCTCTGCATAAATAGGTGGCCCACATTCTAGAAAATGTTAAGAGCCACATGCTTAGAGGACCAGGCTATATGTGAGGAATCTCTTTGTCTTGGGCCTAGAATCAGAGCCTTCAGAGCCAAAGCCAGCAATTACCATCTCAGCTAAGGGAGAATATCCATCACATTAGTAGAACCAGAAGCTCATGATGAGTCTGGCAAGTGAGAGACTATGTACCTTGCCCATCTTAAGCAAGCTGTCAACCCTGAGCATGCAAACAGAGGGAGCTATTATTCTTGCACTGTGCATGCTTTAGGGCCTGAACCTCTGAGGCACTCAGCAATGGGAGTTTAGAGCACTCAGCACATATCAGGAGGCACCGGGCAATTTGCATAACATTGGGTCCTTAGTGAACTGCACCTACATCCTGCACCTGCATGCTAAGCAGTGGAACTGGATGAATAATTTGTAATAAATAACTAATTGCAGGGCCGCCCAGAGGATTCAGGGGGCCCGGGGCAAAGCAATTTTGGGGGCCCCTTCCATACAAAAAGTTTCAATGCTATAGAATACTATATTCTCGTGGGGGCCCCTGTGGGGACTGGGGCAAATTGCCCCCCTCTCTAGGCAGCCCTGACTAATTGATCAAATTTGGCTCATTTTCGGTTTGTGAAATGTCTATGAACAGACTGCGATCTTCTCAAATCATTCCTTACTCAAAAATATTTGCTGAATGATCTCTGTGGATTATGCTTGCTCAATAACTTCTTTGCAACCAGTTAACTGTGAGAATTCGGTATTGATCATTTGAGCTGTATTGACTGAACACATGGGTCACAGGGTAAAAACTCAAACAAATATTTACAGCACCATTCTGAAGTATTTGATCACTTCTGCTATGCAAAGTCAGAAGCTCTAACACTGAACAGCACTAAGATCCAGCAGAACTGAATAGCACTAAGATCCTTGTTCAGATCACCACAGGGTAAAATGATTACTAGTTATCTTTCCCTTTGAACTCTCAAAGGTAACATACTGCACTTCCAAAAATAGCACAATTGCTTCACAAAATTATGCATAGTCCCATGTATTCAGTTTTAAACTTTAAACCTAGAGGGTTTGGCTTTATATAAATCTGTAATAAACAAATCTGTATACAGCATCTGACTCACCACTTTGTTATGTGCCATAAGCTGTATGATACTAGGTGTCACTCGGCTCCAGAACTCCAGAGCTGTAAGGATGGCTGTAAAGCTAAACTCATTTTGATTTTGGACCGTAGGAGCTACTGCAGTTTGTTCACAATACACTGTCCAGAGCTGAGCAAATATAAATGCATGGAAGAGGGAACACATGTGCAGCACTGATGTCTGTGGAAAGGGTAACAAGAAGAAAAAGGTTTTTCTTGAAATAGTATAAAGTGCATTCCCCATCACAGTATCCCCCATTAACATAAACCTCCATCAAATTAAATCCCCCAAGAAATTCTCCCCCATCAAGTACTCCCTGATCAAATCCACAACTATCAAAGTGTTTCTCTTGTTAGGATGCAGTAAGTGAAAGGCATCTGATAACAGCTCATGCATGTTGAAAGAATATGTTTATATTTACAGCCTAATAGCCCGATCCTGCAAACAGATCTGCACATACAGGCCCTTACCTGTGCAGATGCACTAAGGGGTATTAAAGTAAGGGTCAGAGTGTGAAGACCACTTTGTCCTTGGGAACCAATCCTGCTGATCTCACTGAGGTAAAACTCCCATTGCCGTCAATGGGAGGCCTGTAGGAGAAGGGCCTTATGACTCATGATCTTAAACATGCTAGTGCCCAAGTCAGTGGGAGTGAGAGTTTCCCAAGGAAACATGTATCCACACAAAATAAATCATTTTACATCAACTTCTTTTGATCTGCAACCTAGTTCCATCTTACCGGAATATAATCGCCCCAAAACACCTCCAGGTTACAGCCCCATAATGGGAACTTTGCAAGGCTTGCTGAGTAGTTTTACAGATGCACCTCAGCATGACCCTTTCATAATAAATGTTAGATGTAGTGATTTCTGACAGACACGCCAAAGAACTGTCATGACTCCTAGACATGTCACTAGTTCATTATAGAAGAAATGTTCTACTGTAGTTCAGGTCATAGATGTTTTCTCAGTTTAAAAGCGCAACAGTGATTCATGACCAATGCCAGTATGACTGCACCAAACACTGCCAGGGTTGCTTGGTAACTGGAGGGAGGTATTTGAAAGAGCAAAACGAGCTAGAAGGAATGAATAGGAAGCATCAGTCTTGAATGGGTGAGGGGAGGCCAAGTACTAGGCAAGCATGTGATCATTCTACTTCTGTAGTTAATAAACTCCTATTTATTATTTATTTAATAAACACATACCGCCTACTGCATCTATGTTAATTATTGTCATAAATGGTTTACGATTTGCAACAATGTGCACTGTTCATCTTCAAAGCACTTGACAAATCAAGCTGGGCTTGAGCCCATCTCTGTTTGCAAATATTAAATCATTTTTAATCCTCACACTATCTCTGGGATGGAGGTTAGCATGTCTTATTTGAATAGAATAGAATAGTCACTTGCTACAGGGAGAGTCAATGTGGAGCTGAGAGCTAGGCTTAGGACTCAGGAATTCCCATCTCCCACTCCTGTGCTCAGACCACTAGACAGTGATGCTCTCAGACAATAAAACAATCTAGCGAGCTGAATTTTAGTGAATTTATCACTGGTTTTCTGAGTCTATTGGGGCAATTACCTTAAGAAAGGCTGGGCAGGTTTGGGGTTTCTTTTCTGAATTATAATCATAAGTTTTTTATTATGCTTCCAATTTCCTATATCTTATGAATACAGCAGCCTGCTAAGTTTGGGCAGTTTTAGTTTTAGTATGGTGGGACCATTATTGAACAAGAAAGTGGGCAGTGTAATTTTAAAACATTCAATACTGCTGGAATATTTTACTTGTACAAGGGGTACCATCTGGGAGTTTAAGCCACTTTAAATAAGGCATTCACATGAAGTTGCTTTTATAATATCCAGAGGAAAAGTTGTAAGATGCATTTCACCTCCCTGAAAAAAAACCACAACTGGTTAAGTGTTTGCAATACTAATGGCATTGCATATGGTGTATCGTCTTAAACCCATGGAATCCCTTACCTTTGATTGCTCTGGAAACCCAATCAGGATAACAATAAGGTGGTCTGCAATGTGGGAGCCAGCATCCAGAGGAATTGGCATGCAAGACGAGGGAAAATTCGGACAGACGACATTGTGTGTCAGAGACCCCAGAAGTAGCCAGGAGAGTAAACGAATATGAGATACACATTCGATGAATTCTTTGGGCCTGTCAGAGAACAACTGATTTTTACAATGCGTGTAAACTTTGCTTTCTCTCATTAACTGAAAATCCCATATGTTTGCAAAATGCTGCCTGTGCTTGCTAGAGTCTAAATCATTTGGACAGCTTGTGGGAATGTCAGGTAAAGCCGCGTGTACATTGGCTGACCTGGCATGGCACTAACATGCCCAGCAGCACTTGTTCTGTCCTTGCAAAGTTGAGATTCTGCACAAGGCTGATGTGGCAAACTCATAGAGCCACACGCAGTGATTATTTGGATATAAATTATCAAAGGAGCTTTATATCAGGATTCCTCTGTATATTAAAGACTGTGGTTATGGCACTGGGCAGTGATTCATGAGATCCAGATTCAGTTCCCAGCTCTGCCAGAGCCTTCCTGTGTGACAACGGGCAAGTCACTGGATCTCTCACTTCCCCATCAGTAAAATAAGGTTAATCACACTTCCTTTCTCCCACCCTTTGTCTGTCTTTGTCCATTTAGTTTGTAAGTTCTTTGGGGCAGGCACTGTCTCTAATTAAAAGATCATACAACACCTAGCACAATGAGACCCTGATCTTAGCTGGAGCATCTAAGTGTTAGTGTAACACAAGAGTAACAATAATTTCCATTGGTTTCATCTCAATCCAAGATCCCCTGGCTTTCACAAAGCCTGGAAGTTAGATTACTTACTCATCTGAATTCATAGGCACTGAGAAGAAACTGATTTCAGGTCAGAAAGCCGTTGCCTAGCAGACCTCTCACTGCCATTTTTCATTCTTAATTTAATATCATCAGTAATTCAAAACACCAATAAGGCATAACGATAATACATTTATTTTATTCATTGGCTTTTCTATGGTGTTCAGCACCTAGGACCTGGGGCTTCACACACATTAATTATCCTCACCTCAGGACATATTAGCCTCATTTTACACCTGGCGAACTGAAGCCCAGGGAGATGATAATCCCGATGCTGCAAACACACATACACAGGCTTAATATTAAGCACATATACATAAGTGTTCACAGGACTGGGGGCCAGATTTTTCAAGGTATTAGATGCCTAAAAATGCAGATAGGTGCCTAGTGCGATTCTCATAAATGCCTAGGTGCCTAACTCCCACTAGGTGCCTATCTGCACCTTTAGGCACCTAAATACCTTGAAAAATCAGGCCCAAAGTGACTTGCTGAGCTCCCATAGGAAATCTGTACTAGAGCCAGGAATTGAATCCAAATCTGCTGAGGCTATGGCCAGTGTCTTAACGACACGACCATCCTTTCGCTCTATGAAAAATAATTATAAAACCAGGCTTAGTTCTCTTCACCCGCACCACCATCATTTCCCGCTATCCTACACAACCCGCAGCCACACAGAAATACTACAGGTCAGGATCTCTCACATTTACCTTGTCTGGGGAGGGTTAAGCATGTATTTAAATTAAAGTATATGTACAGCTTCACAGATTAAATCCAACAAACCTCTCATATTGTGAAGTTCTTTTTTTTAACAGATCACCTTCAGCATGGACCCAGTCCTGGAGCCCCTACTCATTTACATTCACTCCTTACACAGGCAAACTGCAATGAGTAAGTAGTCAGGAGTTGGTCCTATATAGCTAGGTTTACAACCAGAACTGATCTAACACTTTCATTCTGTTTTACTATGAACTCATATGCTAAAATCCTTATTCAAATTCATCCCTGATGTAATTTCACTGAAGCCAATGGAGTTACATCATGGATCCATTTGGGACCATGATGCAATACTACTGAGTCATAAAGTTGGGGTTGTTGAAACATTTAACCTTGAATTGTCTTTGTTTCAGCGTCCATCATCAAATCACACCCACTGTCATCACTAACTGCATTCCCTTTAATTTGGCAAGAACCCCAGAATTATTGTGGGAATTTCTGCCTCCTTGCTCTACTTTTGGGGACAAAAGTGCTCTTACCCCTGTTGCATTGCAGAAGGAGGATGATACAGCCACGGCAAGTAACGAATCACAGCTTTATTATCTCTGTGATTTCCTCGTGTAATTTCCATAGCTGCAATCTGAGCTAAACCAACTTTGAGATGTCCACCAAATGTGTCTTCATGCAGTGGCTGGGAACATGTCTTCATGTGACTCTGCAAAGTAAAGATCTGATTTTCTATCCAGTAGGGTATTGCACTAGATCCACTTTATGCAAATTCTCACATATTGTCTGTTCACTTTCAATCACCCATACAAAGAAAGAGTTAGGCAACATGTGCATGCATCCTTTCTATCAGCAAACCCTGTAACTATGTAGCAAACTAGCTTTTGCATACTCAATTTACTTAATTGCACATCAAAGGACTCAATCTTTTCACAAGGTAATACAATTTGCACAAGAAATTACCAGCTTTACCCAGGCAAATAGCCATTTGCCTTTAAAAATACAATATTTTGCCTCTTCAGTGGGCGAGAGACCATTTTGCATGGCTCATTTATTGTGAGGACATTTAGGCCCTGAAAATCTAAGGGTAGTGTTGTATCTACTGAGTGGCATATGCTTATCCCTGAAAATGTATTTTATAAAACACTGTTGTGAGCTGTAATGCTTAATTGGTGCTTCTTGAGATTCCTCCATATTCCCAAATGTGGTAATTGTGAATTGTCTATTGCTATTGCAGATAATGGCAGTGCCAATTGGTGTATGGTTTGCTTAAAGGGACAAACTGTCCTTTGCACAACAGAGGCCATATCATAAGCTGGAATAAATTGCTATAATGGCATGAAAGTCAGTGGACCTATGCTGATTTTCATCAGCTGAGGATCTGGCCCCAGTAATTTTAGTTCTACCAAATGAAAATCATTTAACCGAACTCCTGTTTCAGCAGTGCAAAATCTTCCAGCACAGATGATTAGATAGATAGATAGATTAGATCTTTTGCTTATGTCCAGACAATGAAATTTATAAATTCAGCTTTCCTGACTTTCTAGAAATTTACATCTTATTCCAAGAGAAAACAAAGACGATAAATAACTGAACACAGACAATAAATGAGACTATGGCTATGCTGAGAAGTTATCATGTGCAAGTCTAATATAATGCACTAGTTACTAATACAGGGCTGAGAAAGAAATACACAATTAATGTCCAATAAAACACTTTATTAGAGCTAAACTAACAACTTTTAACTAAATATTTATTCAGCAAACTTTACCTCCTTTTCTGTTCATTGAATGTCTGCAAACAGTGCTTTCCTTAGATTTATTCATTAGCTGATGAACAATTTCCCCCTTTTAAACTCAAAGCCTTGTTATTCACAATTTGAAATCCCAAATCAAGTGATGCTCTTAGGTTGTGATTGGTCATATAAGTCACAAGATATTGTTCCCATCACCTGGATTGGCTAGTGTAACTCTTACCAACAGGCCTCTGGAGGGAATACTTGCAGAAAGCAAATATACAATGTGGACAAACTTAAAATCCACTTTCCAGGGACATTTGCATTAGTGAATCCCAGTCAATATGAACATTCATGTAAAATGAGTATGAATGGTCATGAACATGGATGATGTGGACTTGTTTAAAACTCTGACTGAACATTTGTAGGGTTTTTGGTTTGATTTTTCCAGTATTTGCCCAGCTATGTAAAAGACATACAGTGTGTTTCTGTCTGCATGCCTTAAAAAGGTAAATCCAAAAAGGAAGAGGCTACAGCTTTTCCACATACAAACACTCCAGACTAAATATATACTTGCCTTTATATTTTCCAAACTGAACCAGAACTTCAATAAACCATTAACTAAAATAATGGCCCTATTAGCTGGCTTTCTACTGTATTCCTTCAAGCAGTCTGACCCATATCTCATGCTTTGATTCTGATCCAGATTTCAACCCCCAAATCACAAAGTTTAGAAGTTTGCTCCCTGGTTTAATTTTGCCCCATGAAAGATATATGAAGAACAGAGCATGGGGCTTAGTTCAGGTCCATCGCTTGCTATACAAGGACTAACAATAAACATGAAGTACTTTTAGATTCTGCAAAGACTTATGCATCTGTGTAATTTAAGCAAGTCAAGGTGCATGAGGTAGTAATATCTTTTACTGGACCAACTTCTGTTATATGTAGTGGTCAGAGGACTATAGATGGTGAGACCTCTGGGAATGATGTTTTGTTTCTTGCATTTGCTCAGAAAGCAGATGTCGCTGTTAAGTTTTTCATCCTTTTTCTTCATGTAGTGGAGTTTCCATTTCAGATGGAAAAATTCCATATCTTCCATTGTTGTTTGCAGTGTTGTTTTAGCCATATTGGTCCCAGGATATTAGAGAGACAAGTTGGGTGAAGTAATATGTTTATTGGACCTTTTGCCTCACCCACCCTGTCTCTCTAATATCCTGGGACCAACACAACCACAGGCATCAGCTTCCTCCAGGCCCCAGGTGCTCAACCTCCTGCTCCGCCCCAGGCCTCATCCCCACCTGACCCCTTCCTCCAAACCTCCACCCCCACCCTGTCTCTTCCTGCCTCCGCTCTGCCCCAGGCCCTGCCCCCACTTCATCAGATGCATGGAGTGAAAAATACAGGAGCAAGTATAAATACATGAAAGGATGGGAGTTGCCTTACCAAGTGTGAGCTTTTGCATGAGCTTTTGCAGGATTGGAGCCTTAAAGAGATAGCAACAATTTAGTAAAATGGGAAAAGAAAAGGGAAGAAGGGGGAATTAAAAAAAAAAGTATGCAAGAAAGAGAGCTCTTTTTAGGAATATTTCACAGATGAGAGAGGTCATCTGAATACATTTACAAAGATACGGTTTCCATTTATGGTTTCAATCAAATTCATGTTTTCTGTGGGATAAGTGTACAGGATGAGTCTCTTAGTTTCACCACTGATTCATTTTTTAGTATATTTGGAAAGTAATTTAGAATGGGTGAATAATTTTTTAACAGGGAAAAATTATAGTGGGATGGGAATTCAGTTCAGTTGAAAATGATTAATTAGTTCACGCTTTAGAGTGGATTACTACTCCAGTGCAAAAGAGGAAAAAAGCAGCTTCTCCTACTGGAACATTTCTAAAAGCTGAATAGGGTTCAAGACAGACATTCAATGGGGCAGGCACTGGAAGCAGAGATTTTTCTCTCTTAAAAAAATTTCTTGTGGGTTTCAACAGAAGCAATTTTTTAGGTTTTACCCATGATTCCGCCTCATTTGTGTGGCTGACACTCTCTCCCTGCAAGAAGATGTTTGTGTGAAGATAAAAGATGAACTGGTAGCATGAGGCGATCTAGTGCACTGTCACGACTTCTCAGAAAAAGACTGACACATTCCAAAGCTTGGCATGTAAGAGAAGCAGTACACTCATCTCTAGGGGAGATGGTCTCTGCTGTGCAGCCTTTCAGTATCCCTTACAGACTGGCCTGTGCTGCAAAATGCATTGGAGCAAATCAACAGCTCTTTAGGCACAGGCTAGAAGTAAAGGTGGGAGATTAGTAGCGGAGCCTCCCATGTGTATGTCAGAGCCCAGGGTGCAATGTATGAATGACAGGAATATGTTTTCTTGCTAGTTAGAATTAGGTAACACTAGCTGTACTATATCTGTTAACTGAGCTTTAGATCACAAAAATACAATTTGGCAACTGCTTGATTTGACTGTGTTCGGTGATGGAGTGACCTCTGATTCTGCTGATGAACTTCCCCTTGGATCACTGAGTTCCCGTTGTTCAAATACTAATGGCCTTTTGCCAGATTTTAGCATTGGCTGCATCTTTTACAGCTTTTGGACTCTCTTCTGTACTTTGGAATGACCTCTCTTCCATACTCCCAAACCATCAATTTGTCTTGCAAGCTTTATATGGGTTACAAGTAGCAAGACCTGCTTACATCCCCTCCTGCTTTACTTTATGTGCTAATTGGATGAAATCCACTCCTGTGCAGGGAAGCAGCACTAGATCAACAGACCATTTAAATCCCACTTAACACCATTTTTGAGGATGTAGGAGGTACTGTATTTAAGCAGTGCTATTGATATACCTGTGCTTCCCCTCTCCTCAGAGGTGAATTTCAACCTCTGTGCATGTATTTTCAGCTCTAAACTATACTCAGATTTGTTTAGAGGGACAATGTTACAATTTAAGTTGTATAAATAAAAATAAATTATTAGTAGTTATTATTACTTATTTTACAAAACTTAATAATAGAATAAATGTTTATATGAGCTTTTTAAAATTAAAATATTGTATTTTGATGTAAACATTTATCTGGCATGTTTGCTGTCCAAACATTGCAGCATCAGGCTAATGTATAAGAATCAGAAAATAACACTGACTAGAAACCAAAGAGAAACTGACTAGTCTATTTTCATTGTCCAAACTGAGTGAAATGCATCATCATACATGAGGAAAAGAAAACTGGAATTTTAAAATTATTACAATTTTAATAACACATGGTTAAATCATACACCCCTAACAAAGACAAGTAATGTCTGTGTGTGTGTATAAGGGATGCAGGATTGGTCCATTAAAGCAGAATTAGTAACATGGATACGGAACTTATTTTTTCTGTATATGATTGTTTAACCTGACTGTCACTTCCAAAGCAATCTTTGTATGATATTATTTTATCAGCATCCACATTTAAAAAAATGAAACCTGGGTTTTTATTTGTGTGCTATGCATATTCAAATCCAGCCCTAACTTCAGCCCTTTCCATAAGCTCTTTCTTGTTTTTCCCTGAGGAAATGACTCACTAACCTATGAGAACACTAGCTTTAAAACAGAAGTCTCTCTGTTGGTCATTTTCATATAGGTCCTCCAACTATGCTATTTACAGAAAGGATGAAAGTCATAATTAGCAAATACAATTTGGGTCAACATATCCCTGTATCGTACTCACCTTTAATTTGGTTAAGGTATGCATATCGGCAATAAAATCCAGCACGTCATTAACGTACTGCCTCATGCACTCCATTGCTGCTGTTCCACACTAAAAAAAACACACAAAAGAACTGAATTTAGTCGTCTGGTTTTTGACATATTCAGGTTTCTGGATTTGCCTCATGTTCACTGAAAAAACATCTGTTTCTTGACTGCTTCCGGTGGTGTACCGTTTAATCTGAAATAGTCCGTGGGAGTCTTCTTTGCAGTGTAGTTTGCCCCATTATACATAAAGCAGCCAATCTCAATACCTACTTCATCCATCACAGAATTTCTCATCAGTGACTGTAATAAAAAGTGAAGTGAAGACCTTTTTAAGAATATTAGTACAGTGTACTCCCTTGAACTTTTCATGGGGCCTGAATCAAAGTCCACTGATGTCAACGGAAGTCTTTTTATCAGCGTCAATGGGCTCTGGATAAGGCCCCTAGTCCCACAACTTTTCAAGCAGCTGAGCTCTCCTCTGAGGCAAATTGGTGGACTAAGCCCTAAGAAACTGAAATAGAACGACAGGCACGGACCCTCTGTGTTCATATGAATGAGTCCAGTTCAGGAAGCTTATGTAAAGAACACGGTCATTCTTCCTTGCTCACAAATTCCCAGTGAAGATGGCACCAGAAAAATTTATTTTGAATCACTGTTCTCATGCTTTTCACTTTTTAACAGAGATAAATGTGTGCACCACAATTTTTGCGAGCAGAGCTTAGTGGAATATTTTCATTGACAAAGTACTCAAAAGATCAGCACTTTGCTGCCATTTCAAATTTACTAAAAAAAACATTTAAAAACCATGCTACATTTAGATCACAACAGGTCGGGTTTAAAAAATATAAGTGTTTTCAGAGTAGCAACAAAAGTACAGTTTTCACAAGACTTTGGGAACATGCAAAATTCTGGGAACCCAAACTGTACAAAGCAAAACTGTGTAAGATTTTTTTTTAAGAAACTGCAACAAACCCCCCTCCATAATTACAAATAGCCTGAGGAAAATAGACACAATAAAGACAGTTTCTTTCCTTCAACTCCTATTTAAATGGAGAGGACAGATGGCACACTGGGCTCAATCATGAGCCAGCCTACACACCAGCAGCCCTGGGGAATTAGGGGGTATAAAACATCTCCCTATGCTCTTGCAAGAGCTATCTGCATTTCAGTCACAGGTGGGTAAGCAGCTGTGCCACCATACAGGGAGAAGTAATCTGTGCCAGGAAAAAGGCTAGCTTGCATTACCTCCCCCATGGAGCAAAAGGGGAGCAGGGACCAAACTGTGATGTAATAGAGTCACAATTTGGTCTGGGCTATGTTCCCGGGAAGTGCAGTTGTGCATGGCCCCTTACTCAGGGCACATTGCCAGGTGCCAATCTAGCCCTCAGTTAGTAAAAGATCTGCAAGGCACATGCCGAGCAATGCAGTGAATTAAATTACCAAGCTAAGCATAGGTCATGCCAGAGAGCTCTTCATAAAAGCTTTGTGAGAAGGTGCCTACGACTGGTGGAGTATTCCCCTTAACCCAAAGGCAGAATCCTCTGAATGTGAGGGGTTGATTTTTCAGGAGTGGTGAGCACCCGCAACTTCAGCTGAAGTCTGTGGGAGTGGTGGCTGCTCAGCACCTCTGAAAATCAAACTTCTATCAATTCAGGATTATTCTGGGTCCAATACACTTACTGCATTACACAACACCATTGTTTTATCAAATCTCATATCTTGCTTCCAAGAGTGGCCAATACCTATAGCTTTAAAAGAAGACAAAAAGTCATAATGCACCTGGTCTGTAATGCAATACTGTACGTTGGGAAAGGATATTCCTCTTTGACCCCTCTAGTAAATGGTCTACATCCTAAACATGATTTAGTTGGGGTTGGTCCTGCTTTGAGCAGGGGGTTGGACTAGATGACCTCCTGAGGTCTCTTCTAACCCTAATCTTCTATGATTCTATTAACTGATCACCCTTTAATGAGCATTAATAACAGCCAGGGTTGTTTTTGTTCATAAAATTATTCAGCCGTGAGTTTTAGTTGCTGAAATTTGAGAATCTGCTCAAATTCTATATTTAAGCAGCTGACCGAAGTAGTTCTCATTTTTCTATGTTAATATAAATCTACATGGTGCTGAACTATAACACTTTCTGCCTGTTCAAATGCTATGCCTGTCAGTTCTCTTGACAGAATAACAAACAGTAAAATAAGGTCACTGGCAGCCCTGTCAGAGTGTCCTCCATCCAGTTTCTGTGGACTAAGGATTCCACATTGGTTCTTTTAAACTGAGGGATGGAATTATAAAAGGTATTGTGCTCAAACCTCCTGAATAATAAACCTCTATTGCAAGAGACTTTTCTCCTACTATTTATTCTGTTTCTTTTGGCAGTAATATGTTGCATTCAAACAGCAGAACAACTTTCTCTTCTGTTAGTTCTTCTAAAGTGATCAATTTATTCCATGTCTTGTTATATCGAGAGCAATCTGGCTACTTTGATCAAAATACAATTAAAAGGTTCTGTTAGGAGAGGTGTTAATTATCATTGCGCCTTGGAGTTAAAAGTCATAGAATCACAGAAGTTAGATACAGAAAAGACCTGTTAGGCCATCTATAGAGCTGGTGAGACTTGAGCATAGAAAAGCAGTCTGCAAATCCTGGAGCAGACTTGGGATGACTAAGGACAGGCCCAAGACCCTATCTATCTACTGGTATTTGGGCTACACCCAGCATGATAAATCTGAATACCTTACAGGATTATTTAACTTCCTTCTTTACCTGTGTCTTTCTTTTGGGAAAGTGGGGGCAATTGTCTGAAATCTCCCTCCCTATGACATCTTTTGAGGCATTCAGTTGGTCTGCTCCCCAATTCAGTTTTCTGGAGACTAGCAAGGTAACCTCTACTTGAGTGAGAAGCCCCACTGAAGTCAATGGGACTTGTAATGTGAGTAAGGATAAAGTAGAGGCTGCAGGATCAAGTTGTGTTACTTTAAATTGTTCTCAACATGCTATAAAAATGAATCATCCAAGCTTCTATCTTCAATGCCCCAGTAAGCCAGAAGAGAAACAAAGGTAAGAGAAAGGACATTTCCATGAAACAATCTGAACGTCAGAACTGTGTGAGACATAATTTTAAAAAAGCAGAAACAAAGAGATGGAGTGTGGTTCAGTACTTACTCCAGGCATAGATGCAATCATCTGTTTATGCAAGATTGTTGACTCAGCTAGTTTTGTTCCAGCATCTGCACAAACAAACTAATAAGAAATTAAAGATGAATTATATTTGTAGGAGCCTGAAGACATTAAAAAGTAATTTATGATTTTATTAAACTCAGATCTCTTTTTGCTGACTTTTGTGGCAACTTGCTTTTGGACACAAAAGAGTTCCTGACATTATAAAAAAGCTAGTTTGTCTGTTATAAACAAGTTAATTAATCAGATAGAAAAACTGACTTTAAAGTATATGAATTGACATATATATGTTGATTTGTGCACTAATGGTTTGAAGAAAATTATAAGATAAAATAGGAAATTTTCTATCAAACCTAAATATATTTGTAATCAATGGGAAACTTTTGCATTTCTCCAAATAACCTCAATGGGCTCTTCTTATTGTGACTGATTTCAGAAGTAAAGAAGGATGGATCAATGGGCAATATTCAACTTTCATGAATCTCTATTGGAGAACTCTATCACTGGAGTTACACTAAGGATGAATTATATTAACATATTTTAAATTCCGAATGGACCATTATGATCATCTAGTCTGACCTCTTGCATAACACAGGCCATAGAATTTCACCCAGTGATCCCTGAATCAAACCCAATAAATTCTTGTTAATCTAGAGCAGCTGTCATTGAACATTATCATGCTTAATTGTTCCTTGTTTTTCTTGATTCCATTTTTACACTTCTATTTACTTTTAATTCCCCTGCCCCCAAAACCACTGATGTCCACAATAGTCATACACCAGGCCTTTTAATAATGTTATTTATTCTTTATATATCTCCAACACTGTGCTAGACACTTTGCAGACAAGATGATGAGATGCCGGCCCCAGAGAGTTTACTATCCTAACAAACATTGTCCTTGTACTTGAGCAATTCTTGTAGTTTCTGTCCATAGAGAAGCAGTATGTCATCCCCCAAAGAGCAGACACAGAAGCAAGGTTCCCAAGCTGAGGTGTCAACCTGGATTTCCTCAGTGTATGTTGTTGTTTCACTGATTTAGGCAGCTTCAAACTACATAATATATCTATTAACTGTTTGACACACAAGTCTGGCACCATTGTCACCACTGATTGTCCTCAATCTTGGCCCCAGATGTCCCCTGCAGTGCCTGAAGCTGCATTTCCAGTCAATCTCCCATGACCTATATCTTTTGCAATGTATTTTAATTAGAATATTCGTATTATATACCAAGACTTGGAAACACTCAAACATTAAACTTAGATCTTTGACGTCAATCTGTTCTTTGGGGATAAACGCCATGAAGAGAAAAAGATACGTGTAGGGTAACATTCAGACAGGGTCTCCCCATATACACGGCGTGATTCTGATCTCATTTACGCTCGTTTCACACCAGAGTAAAGCCAGTGGTTCCAATTTATATTGAAGAGAGACCATGATGTGACCCATACCATTTCAGTCAGGGTTGGTCAGAATCTGTTCTGTACCAGAGCTCTATTTGGCATAGGGAGGGAAGCAGGAGGCCTCTGGGAGCAGTTATGGTATGAACCAGCCACAGTGATATTTAGAGTAGCTGTTAGGCTGCTCTAAATTATGCCACAGATGGAGGAAACTTAATAGACCCTATACCAGTGGAGGACAGGCATACTCCCGACATGCCCTCCAACACACCCTTGGCACTTCCCCTACTCTGAGAAGATATGCCAGTAGGAAGTTCTCCTATGCCAGAGGAATTGTCTGTTGAACATTTCCTGCTGTATTATGGTCCTTTTGCACTCACTAGAGAATCTGGCCTGGTATTTCTAACACATTATGGTAGCTTATGTGCATTGCTATAGGTAAAATATTGTGTCAATATTCAGTAATTTCAAGAGAGAACGTCTGCTAAAGTGAAACATTGTTGATTTTAAATATTATTTTCCCTTAAAACAAAAAAGCCTTATTAGCACCCTGTTAACATACTAAATGCAAAGTATTCAATGGGGTGGGTTATGCAACAAAGATTAATATAAACATGAACAATGGCTAACCAAATCCATAAAGTTTGTAATGAGCAATTAGCTCCTCTTTAGTTTATAATTTTCGTTACCATCTGGCCTGCAGCTGCAAGGATCCTTCCAGAGCTGAATTGCCGGGAAGAAGGGCTGGATAAACCAAACTAATGCTCAAAACTAAAATTTCTTATTTCCAATTCAACTCACTGACATTCATATTAACTCCCTACAAATACTATGAAGCATCAAGATGCCACTGGCAATAGATTTAGTACCCGTCATACGTAGGGTCACATTGCAAAAGGATGGGAAATATATGTTGAGCTCTTCCTAACATTGTCTGCTAATTGAGATAAAGTGGTTGGGTAATGGATAAATGGACGTGTCTGCTGAATTTGGGTGGGTAAATATCCATCTGTTCATGCTCAGAGTTCTAAAAAAATATTTGCGAGAAGTATCTTAACATTTGACCTTCATCTTTGATCATTTCAGTCAGTTATGCTTTATGATTAAATTCGGAGGACTAGATCCTCAGCTGATGTAAATCAGCCTGGCTCCATTGAAGTCAATAGAGCTACACTGATATACATCAGTTGACAGTCTGGCCCACAATGGGTGCCACTTCATGGGTCTTGTTAAAAAGGGGAAATAATAAAACATGTAAGTTAAAAAGAAATGAAACATCAGGCCTGATTCTGAGTTCTCTTGCACTGCTTTAATTGCACTGACTTCCACAGAGGTAATACAGGTTTACACTGTTGCAAGGAGGACAGAATCAAGCCCTTGGGATTTAAAATGCTAGTAGAAGAAGCAGTTCCTATACAATCTGCCTGGGCCACACCTCCATAATGAAGATATGGTGTGGGGGCTGCAAAGCAGGCATGGCCATTGGCTCCTGGCAAGATTTCAGTGTTATCCTCTGTGGAACAAAATTTGGATGCTGGGCAAAAAAAAACAACGACCAAGAAACCTTGCTATAAATAAATAAATCATCAAAATGTAAAAACCATGCTTAAATAGATGCTTATACTGATCTTGTGAATATCAATTTTCAGAATACAATTAACCCTAAAGGAAAGTTTCACTAATTAATTTGAATATTTGGATATAAATGTTGATCAACACGTAAAACAAAAAAACAGAGGGAAGAGAATAGAATACTGAGGAACCCAGAGAATTTGGGAAACTACGTTATAAGAGTCTAAACCAACAGTTTCTGAGTCTGCAAACAATCATTTGTGAAATGTTAATATGACCACAACTACCTGCCAAACTCTTCACTTAGACCAGTAACAAAATGAAAGTAATAATACGCTACAGTAGACAAGCATGTTTCACATTCAGTTAATGACTAAATTCTAGGCCAAAGTCAAACCTTCAACTTTTCTAAGAGTGACAGTTGAGAATTACAGCAGTACAGATTTGTTCTTTCTGAATTATTGGACCTTTCAGATAAACAAATCTCTGCTTAACATAATGCAGAACAACAACTGAAGAAACTAGGGCCCAATCCTTAGAGGTGCTGAGTGACTCCTGAGAAGGGTTCTTTCCCCTCAGCTCCCATTAAAGTCAATGAGGATGTAACAGAGTAGCTTGCCCATAGATTGGAGAGACTGGGGCTAAGCCTGATTATGAGATGAGCCCCATCTGAGAAGAGTTTGGTCATTCCAATGTAAAAGGCCCGCAGGAAGCTGAAGGTGTGAAGGGGTAGTTATTGAGTATAGGTGTGAGGCATCCCATGCAGCATCAAAAACGAATTTGGGAAAGCTTGACTCAGTTCAAGCTCAAGTGTTGCAAATTGCTTGTGGTGCCTTCATCACAATGCCGCTGCGTGTACTGCAGATAGCTGCAGGTGAAATGCCTCTTACGTTTAGAGGGAAGGTTTGAGACTTAACCTTTTGGGCTAAAGGCATTGGAAACAGTGAAGACGGAAACACTAAGCTAATATATGACGCATGCTGGGTGTTGAGTGGTCAACGGGTAGGGCAAAAACTCAAAATGCCTCATCTCAGTAGGGTTAAAGAGTGGACAAAGGAATTAGTGGAAAACAAAGACCTAAAAGAGGTTAAAATCTATAGCTTTAGGGAAATGCATTATAACTGGAAAATTATACCTCCTGAGGTAGATACGGAACTGTATAATGAATTTAAAAGAGGAAAAGGAGTGTTAAATATGCAGGATATAGCAAATCAATCCATTTGTGATAAGTGGGGATGCTAATGCCTAATGTATACTGATGGCTCCAAAGATGTAAGAACAGGAAGAGTGGAAGCAGCATTCTGTGGCCCTTCACACAGAAAGCTGTATGGCTATCAAATTTTGTAACCATTTTGACAACTAAACTGGCACGGATAATGCTGGCATTAATTGGGTCATAGCTGAGCACCCAGCCACCGTGGTCATCCTGTCTGATTCCTTATCATGATTACTGGCAATCAGAAATGGCACTTCAGACAGCAGAAATAATATGCTTAATGAATTATTACTGTTAACAGAATTGACACGGGTGTAATCATAGTAACAGCATGGATCCCAGCGCGTGCAGGGGTGATGGATATTGAGCAGGCAGATAAAGTGGCAAAAAATGCTGTCAAAACAAGCAAGTTGGTTTGAAGAGTCCCTTAAGTAAACTGGAGTTTAATAATCTAATTAAAAATGAGTTAAGAAAGGAATGGAGAGGAAATAAAGGCACAAGAAACAAAGGGAGAAAGATTCCGTGAAATACACCCAAGAGTTGAAAATGCTGATATATTCTAAGGCCCTGAGAGAAAATTATAAATGGAACCATTTTACTCTAACTGGCCATTGTGGCTTAAATAGTCATTTGTTTCTAATAAACAAACAAAGATGCAAGGTCCAGGAAACAGCTGATCATCTCCTTTGGGAGCACCCCCAAGAATTTACCATCAAAAGGGGGTATTTATATGAAAAATTTAGAGGCCTTAAAATTTTCACTGTAACACTTAGTAAGAGCATCAGGAAAATGGGGTCCTATAAAAAAAAAAGCAGCATTGCAATTCTTTAAGGATATGGGAAAGGTGAAAGAATTAATTCTTGAATTATCTATGGTGTCCAATGTTTGGCAGTCTTAAACTCAGCAAGTGATCTGCTTCGCCATAAAACAGAAGAAGGGGACGGGGTGTGGATGACAGAGTAGCTGAGACTGCCAGAGGCAGGTGCCAGTCACCTGGGGAAACTCAAGAGACTGGTGGGGAGAGCTAGGCAGATAAAGCCTGTGAGTGAGAGTAAAGAAAGCTCAAAGGAAAAGCAGAGCTAGATGGGGACTGCAGAGTGAAGCTGCAGGGAGAGAGAGCCTCCGGCAATGGTCCCCAAAGAGAGGACAGTGTGTCAGGGAGGAGGGGAAGATTTTAAAATGTTTCTTTCTGGGAACTTCGTTAGTTTAATTAAAAAAATCGGACCCCAGGTAGTTCTGCGATTGAGCAAGACCGTGCGAGTATTGTTTAAGGAGCCCTGAAGGGGAAAACAGGAGCAAGGCATTGCAGAGCCACACATGGCCATGAGGGGGTGCTCCAGTGGATGACACCATGTGACAGAGGAGTTAAAAGTGCCCCACACTAGGGGTGAATGTCAGCCCTGCCCTGAGTGCAAGGGGAGCTGGCAGAGCTGCACAAGCCAAAGGGAGCATTGTAGTGTGGGGTTGGTGGTGTCTATCCCTATGCAGCACACAGCAGCTGGACAGCAGTACTAGGCAGAACACCCTTTACAAAGTGCTGTAGGGAATCATTCAAACTAAGCTCTGCTTATCAATTAAATCAGCAAGGTGAAGTGCGTATTTGCTTTTTAAAATGGTGTTTATTTTGCATCCTCCCGGAGAGCACAAGCAGACACATTATAGCTGTCCCTTGCAGGGGCTGTTCGGAGGAAGAGACTCCCTGTACCTCTTCCAACTTACTCAGGACACCTGTGCCCCAGCCAGGCATAATTTGGCCAAAGTGTTATCGCTCTCCTAGTAAAGTGTGAAAAAATGATTCTCATCACATTTAGTATGTATGTCATCAGTAATGCTGATGGCAGTGAGTAATCTGGAATTAATGTGGGTGTTGAATGCACATTCCAGTAATTCCTTTGTTATTCAGCCCACGCTTGCTCTATCATTAAAATAAAGTGTTCCGAGCCCCCACGTTAGCTCGATCATCTGGAGTGAATCCCAATGTACTCTATGCATCACACACAGAGAGGTGTATATACACGTTAATAGGTTGGGGGGGGGTTCTGCAGGAACCTTTGTGAAAATGAGAACTGTCTTTGTGTTCATTTCACGCTACCCCTGCCACAGGTTTGATTAACATAAGATAATACAATTAATATGAATTTTCTACAGACTTTTCTGCACTAAAATGGTGAAATGAGACATCGCCTCATTTCAAGAATATTGAAGTAAATCTAAAATTTTAATTACATTTATTAAAAATTAATAAATGTGATGTTACTAGCTGATTACTTTCAAGGGTGTTTCTGTGAATTTAGTGTATGGGGAATGCTGGGTTGGCAGCAATTGTAGTTCTACATTTACAAGTTAGATGAGAGGGAGTTTTGTTTAGCAGCTGGAGCATGGGACTGAGTCAGTAGCTCTGGGTCCTCTTCCCAGCCCTTAGAAAACACTCAGACCCTACCTGGATCAGGCACTTGAATAGGTGGTTGCGCCTTACACGAGATAGATTGTCCAGTTCCTAGCGTACAAGTCATTACATCATTAAACCACTAAAACGGTTATTAATTGACACCCTTTCCGGCAGTCTCAACAGAGGAACTCCAGCTTCAATGGGCTATGGAGATGAAACTATCTTGTCACTGGTCGAGGTAGCCCCAGGACTGAAGTGCATAGATACAGCAATGTGGAAAAGTTGGAACTGCTTAGCCTGTGATGCAGTGGCAATCAGGCTATGTCTACACTAGCACTTTTATCGGTAAAACTTTTGTCAGCCAGGGGTGTGAAAAAACACCCTCCTGCCCGACATAAGTTTCTCCAACAAAAGTGCCAGTGTGGACAGCACCATATCAGCGGGGAAACATCTCCTTCCAACATAGCCACCGCCGCTCGTTGGGCGTGGTTTAATTATGCCAATGGGAGACCTCTCTCCCGTCAGCATAGAGCGGCTACCCGGGAGATCTTACAACAGGACAGCTGCAGCGGAACCTCACTGGAGCAGGCCCTAAGCCAGAGGTGGGCAAACTACAGCCCGCAGGCCACATCCGGCCTGCAGGACCCTCCTGCCCGGCCCCTGAGCTCCTGCCCCGGGAGGCTCGCCCCCAGCCCCTCCCCTGCTGTTCCCCCTTCTCCGCAGCCTCAGCACACCGCGCTGCCTCACCAGTGCAATGCTCTGGGCAGCCGGGCAGCGCAGCTGCAGAGCCCGGCCTGACCCAGTGCTCTGTGCTGCGCAGTGGCGTGGCTGGCTCCAGCCGGGCAGTGTGGCTGTAGTGCCGCCAGCCACCGGTGCTCCAGGCAGCGCGGTAAGGGGGCAGGGAGCAGGTGGGGTTGGATAGAGGGCAGGGGTGTTCGAGGTGGTGGTGAGGGGTCAGGGTGGTCAGAGAGTGGGGAACGGGGGGTTTGAATAGGTGCAGGGGTCCCAGGGGGCAGTCAGGAATGAGAGGACAGGTTGGATGGGGCAGTGGGGGGCAGTCAGGGGACAGGGAGCGGGGGGGGGGGGTAATCAGGGGGCGAGAAGCAGGGGGCGGAGGCCAGGCCACATCTGGCTGTTTGGGGAGGCATAGCCTCCCCTAACTGGCCTTCCATACAATTACCAAAACCCAATGCGGCCCTCAGGCCAAAAAGTTTGCCCTAAGCACTGAATAGCCATCAGATGGTAACTTTTGTCACTACCACCCTAGGCTGGATTTGGATCAGTGTTTTGAAGAATACTAACAATTCTCTGAGCCATCCAGTCTCCTCCTTTTGAATTACTTTGTGTTTTTGGCTAACATTACCTGAAGTCCCTGTTTAAAAAGCACATTTCTGATTTTTAATTAAAGTGGATAAAATCACTTTTCCTCACACAAAAAGAAAAATCTGTTTTTTCAATACTGCTGTTATAATAGTTGTTTTCAGAGTTGTTCTAATGGCTCTGTAATTTAAGCTGTCGATTTTACTGTTCTGTCAATAAGCAACTGCTTATTTTCTACAACTAATATACCAGTGTGACTCAGGAGAGGTAATATATGCGCTGTGCGCCACTGGCCAGATAAAAGGGGGAAAACACTGTGATGAGCGGGACATTGTGAATGACCCAAAGAGGGCATCTACAGAGCACAACATCCTGCTTTGGGCCATTTGTGTCACTTTAATGCTGACTCCTTGTCATTTTTAAGCTATTTAATGCAAACATTGACCAGTCCATTGTACAGCAGAGGACAGCTACTGCCAGCTGGTTGTGTTCAAAACTGCTGGTCTTCAGTAGGTGGTCTTTGCTGGATGGCTTGTTTTTTCAGTTTGCTTCCACAGGAGTCCTTAAAATTCATTTTCAGTTAAAGTGGGAGCCGAAGTAGGACCCTGGATCTTTCTCACACCCTTGAACCTGAAAGAAATCTGGATCCAGGTCTGCATTTACAACTCAGGCTCACCTCTAATTTAGTCACATATGTAGCTAGGATAGATGAAAAGTTCTTTGATTAAAGTTGGAATTTTCAAAGGAGTCTCTGGGAGTTAGGCAGCCAACCCCGATAGACTTTCAATGATATTTGAGTGCTCAATTCCCTTAGATCCCTTTGAAAATCCCAGTCTAAATCCTGTCTTGAGCCAGCAGAATAGCAAGGAGGAGAAATGTTTCCTAGGCTTGGTCTACATTACAAAGTTAGAAGAATGCTTTCAACTAGGGGAGGATCCTTAATGGCCTGGACAGACATGCTGCGGAGACAACTTTGCTGCTCCTCTAAGCAGGAACAAATTGAATCTTTGCCCATTAGCATGCCTTGCTAATCACAGTCTATCACTTGGCCAGCTGTGGAGCTATGAATGAACCCTGCAGACTGAGATTCCTTTGAGATGGGATTTGCAGGCCAGCGCATTAGCAAAAGTGCTGTGGGTCAACACCACCTTTGACAATCAGGCCACTTATTTAGGGGCATAAATATGAATGTAGGTGTCCAAATTTAGGCATCCATGTTTTCAGATGTCATCCTTAGTTTTGAAGGCCCCGATTCGGACAAGCACATGTTTAACGTCACATACTTAGCTTTTATTTGGAATGGTGAAGAACTGAATCACTACTTCTGTGCTTTGCTGAACTGAGGTGTGAGCACTCACAATATGTGGATAGCATGAAATAGTTTTAAAGGCATATCTACTGTACCTGTACCAACAGCAGCAGGTTCGTATCTGGTAAGGGTGACTTTAACTTCAGTGCCTGCAGTAATTCTAAGATGACGCTGCGGGACAAGTAGAACTTATCCCTTTCCTAAACGGAAGAAAAAATAAAATAAGTGAAGATGTCTAGAAATTCGCCTAAAGTTCACTGATACCAAATACTGCACCACAACGCTCCCCACAGCCTCAATTTGTTTTTCATTTGTTTTTAATTGAGAACTTTAAAAAAAAATGAGCTAAGAGAAAAGAAAGATGGAGGTATGTACCTTTGTCCTTGCCTCCCAGAAAGCATTCAAATAATGCACCATTCATTTGTACAATACTATGGGCCTGATCCAAGGCCACTGAAGTCAATGGAAATACTCCTATTGTCTTCAGTGGATTTTGCATCAGGACCTGTATGCGTGTTTGTATATTTTATATGTAAAGTATGGATAGATTAAATTATATATCTATACACATATAAAGCTACATGGTTAGATCTACCTTACAAAGTAAAAAAAGAACATGGAGGTCAGTAGCTAGGTCTGAATCAGAACAAAATTAGCTCTAGACTCATGTAGCATAATTCTTTCATTAAGCCTATCATAAAACCTCCAAATTTGATCATGAATTCTTCTGTTGTATTCCCCACAAAATGAGTGTCTCTGTTAAGCCAGCTCAGACATCTATACTGACTTCATCAGCCAAGCAGTACTTTTCCACTTCCACAGTAAAACCCTCTTAGGTACAGCTAGTGCAACAGAAACCCATTTTAAAGCACATGAGGGAAGATTAGGAGATGGAGATTAGACACTGTAAACCAAGAACACGAGTTCTGGAGATGGGACAGAGCATGAGATTAGCCGAAGATATTACAAATCTCAATCTGATAGTTTCTGACTTTAGGAGATAGGCTACGTGGAACCAATTTGTAAATTGTTATTGAAACTAGCAATTGAAGGGGTTTTGATCACTACTGTGCAATTTGAATGAGGGAGTCCTATTCCTAGCTCCACCACTGATTCACCAGTTCTTGGTGTCACTGAATCCTTGATCCTGCAAACATTTGGGGCTCATCTACACTACCGATTAAGTCAATGTAATTTACGTCATGCAGGAGGTGTGAAAAAGCCACCCCCTCTGAATGACGCAAGTTACATCGACCTAAGCACCGTCCAACACTAGCGCTACAGTGGCGCAGCTGCACTGATGCAGTTGCGCCGATATAGCACAGTAGTGTAGACTAATCCTTACACAAATGATTAATTTATGTACAAGAGTAACCCCACTGAAGTCCATAGGACTGCTCATGTTAGTAAAATTTAGCATGTGCATAAGTGTTCACTGAGTCAGGGCTTTAATCTCTCTATGGCATCTGTAAATGGGTAAAATTAATACTTGCCTCTACCACACGTAAGTGTTGTGAGGTTTCATTAACCATCAGCTATGCAAGGTAGTAAGTGCAACTGAGAGGGAAATCGGCTGAACGAGCTGGGGACTAGGAAGAGTCTTGGTTCTGCCCCCCCCAAACACTGCAGGCTGCATAGCTCTTCCTCTTCGAACAAGTCTAGCAAGAATGACACTCACAACAGTAGAGCTGGCCAGTGGATGACAATTCCATTGCACAGCAACTTTCAAGGTTTCAAAATCTGTTTTCATTCCTTATTGGAACAAATCCAAAACCTTTTGAACGTTTCAGTGAACAATGCCATTGTATCGGAATGTCTGTTTTTTATTTGGGAAGAGGTGTCAAAACGTCTGAGGTGTTTGTCTGTCCTGGTGGGTAGGGCGCTGGCCTGGGATACAGGAGACCCGCGTTCACCTCCCTGCTCTGCCTGATTCAAAGGAGAGTTTACCATCCCAGAGCACTCTGATTCAGGAAGATTCCCACGCCAGTGTCCTAACCATCAGGCTACAGAGCACAACAGCCCTTTTCTCTTAACCCCAAAAAACTTTCTTGTTGAAGTCAAAACATTTTGGCTTTGACAAAACAGCATATTTTGATCATATGAAATTTCACTGAAAATGTTCTGACCAGCTCTATGCATTGTTACCTTAGTCTTTGCAGAAGTGGCCTCACCCCCAAACCATTATCACTAATAAAAATATTTTAAAAAGGAAGGAAAGGAAAGGAAGAAGAAGAAGAGAGAGA